TACTTGGTGGTGATTTTAGGCAAGTCTTACCGGTGATTGAGAAAGGTACAAGAGCTGATGTGGTAGATGCTTCGCTGGTTAGGTCTGCACTATGGAAGCATGTTGAAGTCTTACACCTTACCACTAACATGAGGCTACATAATCCATCCCTGTCGCAGCAAGCCAAGGGTGAATTGGCAGAGTTTGCTAAATAGGTTCTTGACATTGGTGAGGGTCGTGCTCCCATGAACAAAAGACAAGGTGAGGTTGAGAGGACATGGATAGAGATACCTAAGGAGTTGCTGCTTACTCCCTGCGGTGACAAGATTACAGCTATAATTGATGCCGTGTACCCGGATTTTGAATTGAACTATGACTACATTCCTTACCTTTCTCAGCATGCAATTGTCTGTCCTGTCAATACAGTTGTTGATGAGATTAATGATAAGATGCTTGCTAAAGTGCTTGGGGATGCAAAGGACTATCTTAGCAGCGACACTATTTCAAATACACTTGAAAAGCCTGCAGATTTTGATCTATTGTACCCCATAGAATTTCTAAACTCAATATCCATAAACAATTTCCCGAAACATCGCATATCCCTCAAAATTGGTTCAGCTGTAGTCCTGCTTCGCAACATTAACCAATCACTCGGCCTTTGCAATGGGATAAGATTGATGGTCACCCGACTCGGTGATTATGTTTTCGAGTCCAAAATCATGACTGGCACAAATATTGGCCAGCTGGTCTGTATTCCACGGATTGTCCTAAGTGGGAACAGTCCAAAGTGGCCTTTCACGCTCCAGCGAAGGCAGTTCCCAATTAGGCTATGTTATGCAATGACAATAAACAAATGCCAAGGGCAAACTTTGGGGAATGTTGGTGTATACCTCAGAAACCCTGTCTTCACACATGGTCAGCTATATGTCACTGTTTTGCGCGCTACATCGAAGCAAGGCCTCAAGTTGTTGATAGAGGATGATGATGGCAAGCCTTGTTCCACTACAGGAACATCGTCTACACTGAAATATTATCGTTGCTGTAGATTAATCTTATTGTCAGTTTGTCACTGTGACTGCAGCTAGGATACTTTGCTCCTTTTGTTCACCTGTTTCTTCTATGATCCCATTTCTCCGTGTTACTGTTTGCTTGTGTAACTTAAGCAAGAACTCATGGTCATACAGTGTTCTGTCCACAATGACTATCCGTATTTTTGGTTTTCGCTATTTGTTACTGCTTTCTTTTTACCCTTCAATGAGTTGTTGTTCATACTTGTTTTCTTCCTATTTGACCAGTTGATTGTTGCAGTGTCTTCCATATCTGCTTATTAATTGTTCTTTCTTATTTTTGCATATTCTTCTCTTGGATGCAATCAGTTGCTTTTAAACATGCCTGCTTGAAACACTGTCAGTTGGGAAACAGTTCCCACCTCGAAAAAAAAAAGATATATCCTGCACCACAGTTCCTTCAGCAATTAGGACTTTATATCTTCATATCATGCAAGGTATTATTATTATTATTATTATAGTTTCCCTCTAACCTATGTAATGCCTTCTTTATGTGTTGTAGATGGATTACACTATGCTAAGGGATGTGACACAGGAATCACACCGTTGGCAGGTCCGAGTGCGGGTCACTCGCTTCTCGCAGTTCACTACAGCAAATGAACCTGACAAGATTCTGCGACTTGATTTAGTCCTGCTTGATGAGCAGGTATAGCAATAAGCACATGGTCATGCCTTATTTTACCTCCATGCTATTTGTCTCTTACACATCCAAACATCAACAGGGGGACATGATGGATGCGCAGATCCCAGGACGTCATGTTTCTCAATTCAAGCCTTTGCTGAAGGAGGATGCTGTGTATTACATCAAGTACTTCGAAGTTGCTGAGGCGCGCCCCTAGTACAGGCCTGTTGATCGGATGGTCATGGCAAAATTCACTGCCCACACAACCGTTAAAGAAGACACTGAGGCACCATCCACAGTCCCATCTCATGCTTACAAGGTTCTTTCTTTTGATGATATTCTTTCAGGTGACTCTGTTTGGTCCAGATCAATCTATCTCATTCCTTATTAGCTTTGTCTATTCCCTGCTTACTGCCCTCACTTACTCATGTGCAAATTTTATCCCTTATACTACTCCTGTAGATGCTATAGGTATAATGACACCCATTGGACCAGTGCAAACTGTTTCTTGTGGAGGTGTTATGAAAGCTGTGCTTAATGTCCACATAACCAATGGAAGGTATGTATGCGTTAATCCACTAATTGTTCCAGCTGCTTTTGTATTAGATACAAAATGACTTAATTGTCCGCACATGCATTGTCAGTTTCTTTTTACACATGTACAATCCTTCTTTTTTGTTTATAATATCAACATTGTTTCACAACTCTCTTATTTGCAAATGTGAATACTAGCTTAATTCATGCACATTATTTTCCACCTCTTCATTCTTCTATGTGCCTACAGCGAAACTGCTGTCATTGCATTGTGGGGTGCCCATGATACACAGTTCCACGCTGAAAACTTACAGCAGCAAGCAGACCATGGACCTGTTGTTATATTGTTTGTTGGATTAACTGTTAAATTCCGAGACCGTAAGAAATAAATTCTTACCCTATTATCACCTCTCCTATTTACATATTTGCCTGTTCTTGCTTAAATAATGTACTCTTTCATGCTTGCCAGACCAGCTAGCCCTACAAGGTAGCACTGTTTGTAGGTGGTATCCCAATGCACCAATCCAGGAAACAATTTCTCTCATAAGCAGGTATCTCTTTCCTGCACTCTTTCCATTCACATAAACATGCTTCTTCTTTGTTCAACTTATATCTTCCTTAGTTTATCTGTTATATGGATCAACCATATTTCCCTAGCCTACAAACCAAAACACTAATCTGTTTCATATTTGAAGCCTCCATGGTAACCCACGGGTGGTAAGGGCAATAGAGCCGAACTTCGGTCAGAAAGAAGCTGTGCATGTAAAAGTTTCTGATATCTGTGACCTTAATCCCCACGAAGCCTTGGTAATATAGTGTACCTCCCCACACCTAATGATTACATTGCATAATTTCCATCCATGTGTTATCAGTGCCATCCTTTACTTCCTCTGTTTCTCGCATGTGAACCAGGGCAACAGCTATATTGTCAAGATAGCCATCAAGGATTTAGTCCCTGCTGAAGCCTGGTGGTAAATAGCATGCAACACCTGTAAGAGAGGAGCAGGTAGAGATGGGAACACATATAAATGCTCGAGGTGCATCACTAATGCAATTGAAACAAGGTACTCTTACCACCTACACACGTTCAGCTCTTCTCAATTGTTTTACATAATAAACCATTCAGTATGCTACAATTTGAGCTATAGAACATAAGACCTACTTCTGCTACCTTATATAATAGGTACAGAGTGGCTATCATAGGTGTCGACCCATCAGATTTAGCGAACCATGACGCCAAAACAGCTGAGTTTACTTTCTTTGGAGAAATTGGCTACCAGTTGATTGGCATCCCTGTTCTTAACCTGGTTGCATCTGTCCAAGGAGCACGAGATATAGTTCCATCAAAAATCAAAGCAGTTTTTGGGAAACAATATGTCATTAGAACTAGTGTGTCACGTGGCTCATTGCAAAGAAATCGGATATCTTACCAAGTGGATTCCCTTATGCTAGCCTCACTAGATGCAGCCCACACAAGTACTCTACCCAGCCATGATGCTTCTATGGCATCTTCTCAGCATGGCTCATCACCAGCTGATGCAATTGAACCGCACACGATAATTGGCTCTTCTCTCCAATCTATGACACCTTCTACACCATTGGTGCTTCCAGATCCAAAGGTATAATCTAATAGCTTCATTCTGCAGCAATGTGTACTCTCTTGCATATAAACAATTGTAAATTCTTATATTAATATTGCTTATGCATAGGCCACAACTGATAGCCGTGATGATCATCATGGGACAACACCGCCTACTTCAGAGGCTAGCACTATATTCTGTACTTAGAGCAAATATGTATGTCTGTCCCTTATCAAACCTAACTGACCACTAATGCTTTATCAGCTCCTGGCTATGGCACAACTAGACAAAAAACGTAAATCTTCTGCAATTGATGAGGATCTTGCTCAGGAAGGGTAAGTGACAATGCACAGTTTCATATTTACGTTCCTTGTTTTTTTTTCTTTGAGTTTTCTCATGGCTCAAACAAATTGCATCTGTAGTTCATCTCCTCGTGAACATGATTGTCAGAAAGCATCAGTTGTGCGTGCGCTGTTCGTAGACAAACTGCCCCCACAGCCCCCAAAATGTAAGTAAACGTTGTTAGCCAACTATATATTACCTGTGTGCTCATTTGTTACAGAAAAACTGACTCTACATTACATTTTGCCCTTTAGGACTTGAGGGCTCCATATAATATCACCCCACCAAAGCGGTCTTTTGCACCTGGCATGCCAAGGCGTATACTCCTGTCCCTGATCAAGCAAGACTAATGCTCACATATTTTGCCCAATGTATTTTGCAGTGGGAATATAAATAGGGGATGTGTTCTTTTGTGCAAGCCATTAGACCAAATGACATTACTTCTACGTCTTACAGGCTTGCGAGCCCTAGTGGCTAGCAGAACGATAAATGAATTCGTATAAATAGTATGTGGTGTCTGTACGATATGCACGTTCTAATCAAATATCGCCAGAACTTATACTCTTATAATTGGTGCTATATCTATTCGCTGCACACTGTTTCCCAAAGTCTTCTTATGTTTGTGCCGGAAAAACACAATTTCCTACTGTTTCTTATATATGCAGCGGCTATAGTCAACCATGTGTTACCAAATACTTACGATCCGTGCATCGATTAGCTTATTCTTGAAAAAGCATACTTGCATATTCCTGAAACCATAGGCACACTCTATTTTTCTCCCTTTTATGTCCAAAGCATGTGGTCAGGCACTATTCTATTTTTCAGCAATTCTTTTCATCAAAACAAGCACCCATGCCATTTGAGAGCAGCAGACCATTTACATGCACATATTAATTGATCACGCTGTTATAGTATTCAAGAATTTCCAGATACCGACAAACATAGCTAACCACCATACATAGAAATTATAGGGCTTTACTACTTACACTACCATTCCATCACAGATTACATATGTCTGACTATATACTATAGACAAATACATAACCACCATATATCATGCCTACATGCTGTTCCATGCATACACACCCAGCTATACACAACTGCTGCTATATAACAGACGCTTATTACAATCAACTGCAGGATCCCTACTGATAAAATACTGGACATAATATCAGTCACAACATCTGTTGTTTTCGCTCAGCTTAGTTCCCAAAAACAATCCATGCAGGTCTCCTTAGGCTTAGATATATCTAGCAGCAACACTGGTAAGATTAGCCAACCCTTCGTCCACAAAAGATTCAGCATATTCACCAAGACGGTGCACATCGTAGAATACTCCAACCTCACGATGACTAAGATCATCAGCATCAGGACCTCCTAGAACAAAAGAACATATGTCATCACATATTTGGTTGACAGAACCCAATGAATCTAAAGCTCTATCCCAGCCGATTTCCAGCAACCGTGCCTTCTTTGCAAGAGTATTGCATTTCTTCCTAGCTCTCCCAAGAGCTCTCTTCAGTCGCTCTGTCTCAACATGATAGCGATTCATGTCAAACCAGTTTGTATCATCGAACTCCACACTACATTCTTTCTTGATAACAGAAATTAAAGCATGTGCAGCGCTTTCTTCCGCATCACATGGTCTTATAGCTGAAATACCCTGTGCACGAACAACAAAAGGCTCTCCAACTCCTCTTGCACCATAAACAGTTGCCTCAGCAAACCCAACATAGCCATCTGCTACAGCACGGCAACTGTATCGTGCCTCATTTGCGCCTATGCCTCTCAAAACCTCAGATAGCAACGTTTTGGACCTGATCTGCACGAGCCGACGCTGCTCTGTTAAACCATAACAAAAACAACATCACTAACCATACCGACATCATAAAACCATCCCCTTTCTTCCCCTATTCCTAAAACTTCCTATAATCATCCATTTATATATAAATCATCCAAATCACCATATGCTGCTATAAAGATCCAGATCAACACGGGTCAACTGAAAAATAATCACACATCTAAAAAAACAAGCCCCTCGTACACAGCTCCTTCAGACCAAACAAGATGCAAGAGACCGAACAAAACTAACACCACAAATTTATAAGAGTATATCTAGGTCCCCAAGATTAATCGGAGCATATACAAATACATTAATACACATACCTTGTGCAGGTTCCTCCGTACCAACTGGATAGTCCCTCTTATAGCAACAAGATCTAACAAAGCAGTAGCAGCGCCGCCGCAACCACTCAGTATAAAGAAGCAGCCAGTTATACCACATATATACCAGCCTCAGCAAAGCAGATGCAATCCCACCATGACACGTTGCCCTGGGACAACCGAGCTTAACTCAAAAAGGCCGTGCATCATAAATCCCAAAACCAGCCCACTAATTATGGGACTGTACATCTTTAAAAGCCCAAGGTCAAACATAAAAGGAAAAGGCCATAACTCCTTTATGGCATAGCACGATCAACCCATAATAACAGCTTGACATACCTCCACTACCAAAAATACGCTTTCCATATACTGCACCGGTACGTATCAGATAAAACCCATCTCTTAGCAGCCGCGCAGCGCGCTACGCGTAACCGCTCTAGTATATATAATCCTAGTCGGAGACGGAGTACGCTTCCTCCCCTTTTCCTCTCCCCGCAGTAGGGGTGGAAACGAGCCAAGCCGAGCCAAGCTCGGCTCGGCTCGTGAAAGCTTGCTCAACTACAGGCTCGGCTTGGCTCGGCTTGATTAATTGAACGAGCAAAAGATGCAGCTCGGCTCGGCTCGTTTCAAAGCTCGAGCCAGCTCGAGCCAGCTTGTGATGTCATGATGGACGGCGTCGAGTCAGGGACGCCGGCGACGCAGGGGGCGTCGAGCTCGGCTCGAGCGGCACTGGGGACGGTGGACGGAGGCCGGAGGTGGTGCAGGGAAGGGAGGCGGCGCCGCGGCGGGCCGACGGCACAGGGGGCGTCGCCGTGGAGGGAGGACGGAGCCGACGCAGCCACACTAGGGGAGGTAGGCGGCGCAGGGAGTGAGGCGGCGAGCCCACGGCGCAGCCGCGCAGGAAAGGGAGGTGGCGGGCCGACGGCGGCGGCACAGAGAGGGCTTCGAACGGCGCTGCCGGCCTGCCGCTGGCGGTCTGGCGCTGGGGAGGGGATGGATGCGGCGGCCGGCAACTCCTCTTGCCAGTCGCCGCCAGCGCCAGTTGAGGAACGGAGGAACCGAGGAAGGGGAGGGATCGGATCTGCTCGCACTCGGCTCAGCTCAGGAGTCAGGACTTAGGGTTTCTCTCTTTCATGGGCCAGACAATTGTTAATGGGCTTGGGCTCGCTCAGGGAACTCAGTTTTCCATAGGCTTGACAAGCCTACCGAGCAGCTTGCGAGCTAGCTCGGGCTCGGCTCGGTTTGGAAACGAGCTGTGGAGGGAGCTCGGGCTTGGCTCGTTTAGTCTTCGAGCCGAGCCGAGCTTCGCGAGCTCAAGCCAAGCCCGAGCCGAGCTCGCGAGCCCGAGCTTTTTGTCCACCCCTACCCCGCAGCCGCCATCGCATCTGAAGTATAATTGACGCCATAGGTAGCAAAGCTCCACCCTCTCTTTGATCGATCGATATCGATAGGCAGCAGAAGGGGAGAAAAGGAAACCGATCTCGGTCATGGCCACGCCCACCACTTTGGTCGCCGCCTCCAGCCATCGCCGTCGTCGCCGGCGTGGATCCACACCGGCACAGGCACAGGCACAGGCACCGGCACCGGAGGGGGTGCCGGGGTGGATCCTTCTGAACAGCGGTGCCCACATCGGCAGCCGCTCCAACGCCACCACCGCCGTCGGTGAGGCGAGGGACAAGCTGACGATAGAGGTGTCCTTGTGGCCGGCGCAGCCGCCGCACCCCTCCGACGTGTTCGTGTGTTGCCCGGGCGTCCGCCACCCCCGCGAATCCGAGATCCTCTTCACGGCCCAAGATCTGCTGCTGCTGCGTGTCCCGGTCGCCGCCGGGGCTGCGCCGAGCCTCATCAGCTTCACGGAGTGCGATTACCTCATCTACCGTGCCGCCGCCGGCGACCGTCGTCCGTCGCTCACGCTGCTCCCGAATCCAAAGCCCAACTACTTCCACGACGGGGATGTCGGCATCCTTCCCCGAGGCGGGGGCGAGTACACGGTCGCGGCCCTGGTTGCTAGACGACGCCGGGGGCAGGTGGACCACCAAGACGGTGTGGATGGACGACCCGCGGAGGCCTCCCCCTGTGGAGATCCCCATCAACGCAAGGCGGCTCAACCACCACATCACCACCACCACCATCACGCTCGGCGGCGAGCTGGCCGGTGCCATGGGCTGGGTCGATCTCTGGACCGGCATCCTAATCTACGATCTCCTCCATGACGACAAGGACCAAGACCGGCCAACGCTCCGGCACATGCCGCTGCCGCTGCCGATGCACGCCATCACCGGCAACCACGGGATGGGCGACAAGCTAGCCTTAGGCTGCCCACGCTCTCTCCGTGGCATTGCCTCTGTCACGAGGCGCGGCAAGGCCTGCCTCAAGCTCGCCGGCGTGCATGTCACCGGAGAGCGCCTCCCCTACAACGACGCTGAAACCCAGCTGCCGGCGTTCGCCGTCGACGACTGGACTGTCACGACATGGAGCAATGACAAGATGAAGGGCTACTTTGAGGACTGGCAGGAGGATTTCACGATTCGCGGTTCCGAGGTCAGGATTAGCAACGCCATGCGCTCGGATCTGCTGAGATCTGGGTTGCTGTACCGTAAACCGTCACGAGGGGATGGCGATGAGGCTACGGTGGAGGAGCTGGCTTTGCACAATCTCTGGGTGTCTCATCCCACCCCCAGCCTAGATGGTGAAGAAGATGTCATCTACCTGCTGGCCAAGCCAAAGTGCTTCCACCCCAAGGCGTGGGTTCTTGCTCTCGACACGAGGAGCAGCACGCTGCTAGGCGTGGTTGAGTTTGGCACTGAAACCGCACCATCTGCAGGTGTCACGTATCGCCCCAGTACTATATCCAAGTACATGAGTCTGGTGACTTCTCCAGGTAATTGCCATCATGTTATAGCAGCACATGCCTCGTTCCCTCCTCGCAACAAGTGACATTTCTCTACGGGCAAAACTGACTAGCGAGATATCTTAGAGAAAACCAGTCTTTCAGTGACCTGTCTGTGGACAAAGACTTTCCTTTTGTCTTAGTAGCTACTAGCTGGTTGAGTACATTTCGAGATTAGGTGATGATCAACCAATTGAAAAAAATTACATTGGTATCATGCACTCTGGTTACATGCTCTTAGTTCAGTTATCTTCTGTTCTTTGGTTCTTAACCTGCCATATGTAGACTCATATGCATGTATTTTTCTATGTAAGGAAATAAATTGGCATTGCTTACAAACATTCTAGTCAATGTGTGGGTAAATGAGGAAGATATATCATATGCACATCCAACCACACATCCATGCATGAGACCGAGATATGCTCCCTATGTACCTAAATCATATACTAGATTCGTTCTGCTTGAACCAGTTTAGTTGCCTTGCTATATTTATAATAGAAAAAATTACTCATTTGATGCAGTGATGCTAGAATCAGTTTAGTTGCCTTGTTGTATATTAATAGAAAAATTACTCATTTGATGCAGTGACTGGGAGAACTTAAAGGATGCTGCTGCTAATCACTGAATCAAGATGGTACTGCTGGCCTGTTTGGAGGCGATGCATCGAAGATTAAGACTGAATGATGTTGTTACACATATACTCCCTCCGTTTCATAATACAAGACTTTCTAGCATTGCTCATATTTATATATATGTTAATAAATCTAGACACATATTTGTATAGATTTACTAACATCTATATGAATATGGACAATACTAAAAAGACTTGCATTATAAAACGGAGGAAGTATATGTTTACAGGGGTCTTGGCAATTTTGCATTCGGGTGCAAGAAACGTGTTTGTTTCCCTGCGCTGGTGGTTAGGAGTATTTATGTAAATTTCTCTAGTTGGAACAAACAGCCAGTAGCTTGTCGATCTGTTACTAACTTACGATGAAGCATCATCATTATCATCTCATAAAAACTTGTAATGGGATTTTATATTCGTGACTATCACGCACTTTGATTTCGGTGAGAAGAGAAATCCAGAAAATTGCCATCAACTCATCTCTGCTATTGTTCTTGCTCTGCTCGGTTGATCTTGCCGGTTTTACTACAGCGTGCGTAGACACAGGGGTACTAAGGCTGTGTTTAGATCCAGGGATGAAAAGTTTTGGCGTGTTATATTAGATATATGGACACTAATACTAATTTGAAGTATTACACGTATACTAAGGAAGGCCGTGTTTAGTTATTTTGGCAAAAAAAATTTAACGTATATAGACATACATTTGAAATATTAAATGTAGACTAATAACAAAACAAATTACAGATTCCGCCTATAAATTGCGAGACGAATCTATTAAACCTAATTACTCCATGTAGCACCACATTGACAAATCATGGCGTAATTAGGCTCAAAAGATTCGTCTCGGAATTTATTACATGCAAACTGCGTAATTGATTTTTTTTGTCCATATTTAATGCTCCATGCATGTGTTTAAACATTTGATGTGACTGAAAAGTTAAAAGTTCGAAGGGAACAAACGTAGCCATACTCGTCTTCGAACACTTTTCCAAGTCCTGAAATGCGATCATTGATTTGATGCAGTTGCTGAATCTGCTGAGGTGGGATTTCCATTTCAAATCTATCATGTATTTATGGGCGTGCATCTACGCTTCAGCCACATTTTAATCCTGTCTATCAAGCTCCGTTTCTTCCTTTAACTAAAAAGAAAGAACTTTTTTTTAACCCAAACAACATTCTTGAAGGCCTGTGGGTTAGGCGTGAGCGTGAAACCTGTCAAGGCTTCGCAACTGTCATATTGGTGATGCCGTAGGAATGTAAGGCCTTACAGCTTTGGGGAGATAATGTTTATAATCCTCCAAGGAGGCATATATATTTCTCTTATGCAGTTTTGATCAATGCACTTACTTTGGAACCTCAACCATATGCTAAGCATGGAATCTAATAAGAATATAGGAATAATTCCTCATGTTGCCACCGGATAAGATATAATGAGCAGTGTTTCATATGATAAGATATAATGATCTCCAAATCAACCGAGCAGCAACAAAATCTACTAACAGAGCAGTGTATCCTATGATAGGATTATCAGTAGCTATACATGCATTTGAACAAGCAAGCGCTGAGACATAGTGGAGCGCAAGCTAGGAACAAAAGTCAGAAGTCAGAACCCATCGGTCACCGAAGAAGTACTGGTCTGCATGCCCTCTGCAATCAATAATTGTTCATTACTTTTGTTCCTAAAAAAAACATAGTGGGATAATGGAATTTAACATCCCAGCCTTTACAAGCTACAGCCAATTATTACATTATATCAATCCAGAAAAGAACGTAGTTCAGCTAAATAGGACACCAAACAAAAAACAGAGGAAACTAAGCCAAAATAAGGAGAACACATTTATTTAAATCTATTTGTAAACCTCCATCCATAATTGGCAAATAATTGCATAACCATCGACTTCAACTTGCGGCATGCAACCTTTAGAAACTCCCCATCATCCTCACACCTTTGTAGCTGTGCCCAAAACCGGAGCCAGTGCGTTGCCCTGAAAATTACCTGCATATATGAAATAGATGATGATTTATTAAAAACCAAATCATTTCTACTCAGTGAAGATCAACAAACGGATGAAGAAACCATCGTGCCATTTCAGTTTTAGTCCCCCCTTCCTCAGGTTAGTACCAGCGGCTAATGCTGACACCTCGATCTTGTAGAGTAGTAGTTTACATCTGCCATTCTATCCAGTGACGATGCACGCGAGCCTAAAATGCTCAAGCATAAGAAGATTGCCGGCCAAAAAATAAAAACAAAAATCTGATACAAAACCTCAGGCTCTGCTTAGGCGGTCAGCTGCATTGACACAAAACGTTTCCATCAGATAACATGAAAAAACGAAACCTAAATGAAACGGCAGTAAATGAAGATTTGGTTAGCATGCACGAAACTTGAGATAAACATTACAAGTAGCAACCTCTATCCCCCCACCCTCTCAAAGCGAAGCAATTATTGTAATATTAAAAAATATTTAGATGTGTAAAAGCATGTTCATTCGGGTAAACAGGTACTCCCTCCGTCCAAAAAAAAAAACTCAATCCTGGGTTTGGACCTGGACGCATGTGTGTCCAGGTTCAAAACCCAGGATTGGGTTTTTTTTGGGACGGAGAGAGTATGTCGCAAGTGGATGGACAGGTAGCCAATATCATCCTCCAGTATCCCAATAAACTTCAGTTATGGTTCCTCCATTGCTGAAAATAGATAAAGAGAATATCTACTACTCCCTCCGTTTCACAATGTAAGACTTTTTAGCATTGCCCACATATATATAGATGTTAATGAATCTAAACACATACATATGTCTAGATTCATTAACATCTAAATGAATGTGGGCAATGCTAGAAAGTCTTACATTGTAAAACGGAGGAAGTAGCTACCATGTGCGATGCTTGTTCATAACAGAATTAAATAGAAATAAGATGGTTAACTTTAGCTATGGTTCTTCACATCATACAGATTAAGACGCTGGATTTAATTTGTAATGTCGAATGGTCAATTAGATTAATATGAAAATATATAGGGAAATGTCACTACTTTGTATTATGACACCCATGTGAGCATGAATTTTGTTTTAGAAAACTGTCAATTAAAAATGAAACCACCACTTCATTACACATTCAGTAAAACTTACTCAGAATCCTCAAACATTGTCCAGGTTGTAGAAAACCTAAAAACAAGAGAGAATAGCTGTTAAAAGTACAAAACGACATGCTTTTTGAAAAAAAAAAGTGGCAAATAAATCTTACGGGCCATCGATATCACAATTTCTCACTATAAACAAAATCAATTGTGGCACAAATTTTGAAAGGTATTCCCCAATCATCAAAGCAGTAGTAACTATGTCCAGGACAGTCCCTTGGTCCTTCAGAGAACAAAAAAAAAGTTAGCAGACTATTTGATGAGGGTATTGAAAATTTCCAGAATGAACAAAGTGTTTTCAGGAAGAGACAAGGTTAAAGCGAGGCTGGATCATTAGGTCAGTAAAGTAATAGGACGATTACAAAGACAAAGAAATTTGGTCAAGAAAAAAGCTCAAGAAAAGGTGAATTGAAAAGCATAATATAGGGATAAATGGTCATCCCTAACTCTGCGACTCTTTAAGAGAACTACAACTCTCCTTCAAAGTCACCACTAGACCCCTCATCTCCAGCACACAAGCCACATTCTTCTCTAGACTATGAATGCAGGGATGATAGTTCATTTGTGTCACCCTGGCACATCATCTGCTATCCAGCCTATCGCTGACTCCCAGATTTTGCATCCTACTGAGCCAGATGCTTTTCATCAAGGAGCAATTAAAATTGGGCTGCTGCACATTTATTTATAAGGAGGTATAGTTGCGTCTTCGATTAACACCCCCCCTCCCCACCGGAAAACAAGCATAGGTGGAAAGGTTGGTGACTTGGATGAAGTAAAAAAAGAAAGAGAGAAAACAGAAACATGTATTTACCTTTGTGTACCTATGGGCATGCTCAATAAAGTTTCTCAGATATTTCAGCAGAAACCAGTAGCCTAACTCATAAACATCCACAAAGAAATGCCAATAGACATTTGAAAATGGTATGCCAAAGTGTCTCACACCTCTCCATTCTATCAGAAGAGTTTCCGAGACTTGTAATGGCTCATACACAGTGTCTTGCGGTTTGCGCAGTGAATCACAATCTCTGTACAGATGGCATATCAAAGTAGAAAGAGCTGCTGGAGACATGAAAGCTGGATGACAGCCCAAAAACCTTTGAAACTTCTCCAGCTTCTCACGCTCATGAACTTCAGGGACTTCCATACAATTATGCTGAAATTGTAGAAAGTAACAGGGGAGAACTTTCTTCTTTTCACCAGAAGCTGAATCGATCTCTTCATGCTCGTAATATGGGAAAATAATCTCAAAGAAGTTTCTGAAGTCAGCTTGCATCCCTTCCTTGGAGGTTGTATCATTTGGCACTTCTGTGATAACAAAATCTTTGATATCATTCCTCACTTTCATATGCTCTGCCTTCCATTTCCCATTCCAGCACAGGCCCTTCTTATGCAGCATTAGCAATCAAATGAGAATTTCCTTTGCATTTCCTACTGAGTTCAAGGTCCAATACAATTCTAACAAGCCTGGACAGGTATTCCTCAGAAACAAAACCGTTGATATCTGGCTTGATCTTCGTGGTCCGAGTGAGGATGATATAGTTAACAATCGCCAAGAGAGAGGAGGAGCCATTCTTATCATGGCATATAATTTGTTTTATGTGCCCACCATAACTGATCTCCTCTACCTTGTAGACAGACATACCTGAAAGATGGACTGGTATACATGGCAACAAAATTTACATTATGTAATGTAAATGCAACAATCTTGACAAGGCATATGACATAGCAATCCAACGAAATTGAAATCTAACAGCTAAATTTGGAACATCTGGAAAAGGAAATCCTCAATAGTAGAAAAGAAGGCGAAAGGGACGAATACACAGGAGTGCGCACACGAAACCTGTTCGCCTTCTCCCAACGGGCACCAACCAGCACAGGCAGGGTGTACGGCGGCGCGCGCACCCACTTCCCCGCCTGTCTCTCCCAGCAGCTCACCGCCGATCTCTCCGACGGCAGCGCGCGCGCACCCCACTTCCGCCCTGCCTTTCCTGCGGCGCAGCAGCTCGCGTCCCCGCTCCCTCCGACGGCGGCGGGCTCGGCCGCTGCACGGAGGAGAAAGTGCGGCGGGTGGGGTTTAGCGGTGGCTTAGATCTTTCGCGGCCGGGGGGGGGGGGGGGGGGGGGTGGACAAGCTTACCGCGACTTGAGTTTGGTGGCGACGCCGACCAGATCAGCCGGCAGGAACGGGTCCGACAAGCAACATTAGCGGCCGCGGTGGCGGCGATGGCGGCGGTGGCGTGGCGGCGATGGCGGCGACGGCGGAGCGCGTGACGAGGGTTTTGCGGAGGAGGAGGGTTTTGGTGGAGTCTTCGACAGCAAGCGAAAGTTTATGGCCGGTCTGATCCGATCCGATCCGCTCCCCGTATCCACCGCCCCAACATGCTACCTCCCCAACCCTCCTCGATCTCTCCGAGTAATTTGTTTTTTCGATTTTGCTATATCTTACCTGAAAGATTTTTTCTTATCTCTCACTCGATGTTCTCACTTAAATTTACAGTGCATTTTCTTGTAAGTTACAGTGTAATTTATGAAATTTACGCTGTAACTTTTGTAGGTTACACTGTAATTTGTGAATCTTCGCATGTAAATTTTAAAATTTGTATTGGATTTGATCTTTTTCTTGAGGATATGGTAATTTAGTGTCCATTATGGTGTTTCTTAATTGCTTTTTGCTTTTTATTATATCTATCGGATTTTAATTAAAGATTAAAAATTTGTGTGATATGATAATAAAAATCTTTCGAAAGATGTATAGGTACTCCCTTGTTTTTTTTATTCTCTCTCTTATAACATTGTAGGACTACAAACGACACACTTATAACACATGCATAAATTATCTCTGCGAACACATATAGTCCCTCCGTCCAAAAAGAACATATTCCTAGCATCCCAAGGTTGTTTTAGTTGAGATAGAGAAATACTAAAATGCCCTTGGACATTGAAAAAAAATAGTAGGTGTGATAGGTAGGTAAAGGGTATTGAAGGAATAAAACCTTTCGTTTTACGTGCTGAGTGTAGATAGGATGGTAGAAGTTGGTTTTTATGGGACAAAATTCAAACTCTAGAAGTTGAGTTTTTTGGGACAGATATATTGGATCAGGGCCTGTTTAGTTTATGAAAAGAAAATTTTTGGGTGTCACATTGGATGTTTGACCGGATATCGGAAGGGTTTTCGGACACGAATAAAAAAATAATTTTATAACTCGCCTGGAAACCGCGAGACAAATCTTTTGAGTCTAATTAGTCCGTCATTAGCACATGTGGGTTACTATAGCACTTATGACTAATCATGCACTAATTAGACTCCAAAGATTCATCTCGCGATTCCCTCCTAACTGTACAATTAGTTTTTTCATTTATCTACATTTAATACTTTATACATGTGTCCAAAGATTTGATGTGATGTTTTCTGGAAAAAAAATTTGGGGAACTAAACGGGGCCTCAGTATATCTTAATATAATTATTATTCGTGTATAGCTATTGATGGGTATATTGTCAAAAATAATTAGCCATATAAATACAAACACTCATATTAAGTAGTACTCTAACTCGGTGGGTTGGTTCTACTATAAGTATCTAAACAGTTAAGTTAAGCTCACCTTATTCTCTCTTTTCACACTACCCAAATTATTATGCATCAAATTTTACCACTCTCTCTTCAATCTTTTTTTTAAAAAAAACTATACACACAATTTAACCCGGTTTTAAATTTTTTATGTCGTCCAAACAAGAAATAAATAGAAAAACTGCGAAGGGGAGGGGATCCTGAGCTGCATTGAAGATGAACAGCGGTACAGATTACACGACTAAAAATGTATAAAAATTACATACTCCATCCGTTTCAGGTTATAAGATATTTTGACTTTGGTCAAAGTTAAACTACTTTAAGTTTGACTAATTTTATAGAAAAAAATATATTATAAAAATATATTCAATTATAGATTTTATGAAATTATGCTAGTATTGTAAATATTACTACTTAAAAATATCACGAAAAATTTTATAAACAATTAGACATTTACTTCTAATAGTATTACACATATATGCAAAATCTCGTATTCAAATTCACTATATTTTAGCTGTAACAAAAAGATGAAAAATTTGACAATTTTAAGAGTAAAAATCTGTTAATATTTTGTCTTTTTGTTACTGCTCGCGTGAGTTTGCTGCTTCGTGAGTTCTACGCATCCTTGGGCAAAGCTGGCATGCATCTTATTAGATATCTAATACAGTTCGTTTCAAAAAAAAAAAAATTCTACTACAGTATGTAGTTGAAAGGCTACTACATTGGGCCATTCCTCATATTAACTGTTGCCTCAATGATTCTCATTTATACTCCCTCCATTTTTTAATAGATGACGCCGTTGACTTTTTCTCACATATTTGACCATTCGTCTTATTCAAAAAATTTACGTAATTATAATTTATTTTGTTATGAGTTGTTTTATCACTTATAGTACTTTAAGTGTGATTTATATCTTATACATTTGCATAAAATTTTTGAATAAGACGAATGGTCAAATATGTGAGAAAAAGTCAACGGCGTCATCTATTAAAAAACGGAGGTAGTACATGATGTTGATTGCTCTTTATTTGATTAAGTAATGACACCCTCTTATTGTTTAAAAAACCATCAAGTAAACACTTACTCTACGAAAGTTGGTCTCTTTCCCATTACAATGCTATCTAACAGCAATAATTCTGACAATTTTCAGCCCAAAATCCACATCCATATGGCTCCCATGCCCACATTGTACAGTGTTTTACATATGGTTTTGGTGTCATCCCACCTTTCCATGCCCTGCTTATCAGATCGACGTCCCCAGCGTGGTCGGTGGATTCCATCACCATCGTTGGAGAGATCATCTGGGCTCTCAATTTCTACCTACAATATGGGGAGTGGATTCTACCCCTCGTATACCTTTTTCTTCTAAATTCGATGCAAATAGTTGTGAAATTTTTTTAAAAAAAATTAACAATGTAGAGTATAATGACATCTACTACTCCACCAAAATTCAAGTTCAAATTCGATCTACACATCGAGAAACAAAAAAGACAAATTTAGATATAAACAATACGCTACTATTCATACGCTAAATTTGTTTATATCTCGACGCGTGAGTTGAGTTTGGACTTAAGATTTTGTGGAGTTGTATATATGTGTTGTATGAATGTTGTCAAATTTTTTCAGAATTTTTCATAACCGTTTAAATATTTTTTAAGCAAACAAGGGAGCATCCCCTCAAGGGATTAGAATAGTTTCCCCCTACAATGCCACCCTTATTGTGGTGGTGATATATTTTTGCTTGACCTGAAGTAAGGTATGCATCTTTCTTACTTTATTTTCTGTTAATCCCTTTTTGTGTACGCAAAGTTTTTTTTTATGGTATTCACCTTGATATAAGTTGCAATATATTCATATAGTATTTAGTTAACATCATGAATATTTTTTTCTCAATAATATATATGCATCCATCCGGCCCGTCTATAATTTTGTGCACTCATTTTTAGGCATTTTTCTTTGTGAATATATGATTATGAGTCCCAACTTCAAAGTATATATATAATATATATCATCTACTTGATTTTTTTTTACCAAAGTTACACAGCAAAATTGTTTAACTACTGCGCTTTTGCTTTTTAAATTAAGTTATATAATTAACTTATTTCATTCAGGCTTCATTCTGCGCTTTCTGGAATTGTTTTTCATCCTTCGTCATCCCACGGTCATCCGTACTGGCGCAGCATGCCTCCAGCCCCGCCTTGGCCGAACCTAGCACCACCGCCATGTCCTCTCGGTGTGTTTCTTCCTTCAATCGCAAAAAGCAATTCCCTACTCCTCCCTCATTATTTTCCGTGATTTTACCTTTCAGTTCAGCTTTAATTCGCCGGATTTAATTGATTCCAATGATGTCTAGCCATCGAGCTTATCCTGACTATTTTCATCCTGAATTTTATGAATTCGCTCTGATGTTGGAGAAAATAGAAAGAGGAGATTGAGTGGATCAAAAGCTCTCAATCAATTTTAGGACATCGATAAAGATTCGATAGGATTTGGTGGGCAAGGTTGGCTCCAGCATCATATGGGCATGGGACGGAATTGTCTTCCGACACTAGCTAGTCTGCTATACTAGCTGCGTCTTCACTTATGAGTTGGGTCGAAGAGAGGTAGGCCAAGGGTTTTCAATTATAATGTATATATAGCGATCCTAATGTTTTAATTTATTGCTCAGCGTCTAATAGCTAGTGTACCATAAAAGAATTACACATTGTGACCCACGGATATTTTTTCTAGTATAATTCTAATACTCTAGGATGATACATACTAGTATAACAACCAATTTCCCACTATCCGTTCTATTCCTGGCTATGGAAGCCACTTTGGAACCGCAGTGCTCTATATTAGTATATAGTAGTAATGGGTTTATGAAAACACAACTTGCTGGTTTTTTGTGATTTTCCACAAAATTAAATTTTATAATTTGACATATACAAAAGAAAAAGCAAATCACCATATCATGTGTATAACTTTGACCTCTATAGTAAATATGCTATGGCTGCTTTTTAGCTCTAATATAACTTTGACCATAGCATACATGTTATCTCTAATATATTTTTAGTACAACTTTATAAGTTAAATTTGGAATTATGTACATACATATTTGTTGAGTGATATATCACAAATTAGTTTATTTTTTTAAAAGAAAATATTTTTTGACTATTTAAATAACATACTATCTCCGTTTCAGGTTATAAAACTTTCTAGCATTGCCCACATTCATATAGATGCTAATGAATCTAGACACATATTTGTCTAGATTTATTAACATATATATAAATATGGGCAATGCTAGAAAGTCTTATAATATGAAACGGAGAAAGTTATGTATATACAAACTAGTTTATTTCACAAATTAGTTTATATTTGTTGAGTGGATATGTTTAGGCCGGATTCCCTTGCACGGAACACACCTACGTAACTTCTCACAAGAATGGAGGTTTGCCTCCATGCATGCATATAATAAGGTGTATTAATTAAGTAAATAGGATATCCACCTCATAACGGGTATCCGTCAAATGTGTGGATCCATACCCAATAAGATGGGTCCATATATGTCCATATATATCACTCTCAGCAGCATATCATCGGACACATTTTCTCTGTAAGAGTACGCACCAGTAAGGTCATATGGACCGCATACATGCTGAACGGAAGAAGGTCCGGATTTGCAGTTGCATTCCGGATTTGTACATCCAACTTTTGAGCATCGAAAGATATACTGCTATATCCGTTTTATGTTATAACTACATCTATTTTATATCACAAGTTGTTTGACTTTTTAAGTTTGATCAAGTTTGTACAAAA